TGGGGCTTAGCATGAGGGACTCCCTTTGGGGCCTGCTGTCTTGTTTGAACAGGGCCTGATGGGGACTAAACGGGTGATACAGTGCTCAGGAGGGTGCTGACCTGTCCACACATCCAGTCCCCCTTCTGCTCCATGTCACAAGGGGCTCAGCCTCCAGGCACCCTTGCCAGCTGGCTTCTGCCTCTGTCCAGCCCACGTTGGCACTGTCTGGGTGTTGGAGGGTGGGAGGAGGGGAGACACCAAGTATTTCTGTTTCAGAAGTCATCTCATCTGCTGCATTTCCTGTAGCTTCTTCCTGGTTCCACCTCTCTCAGGAGCCCTCCCTCCACAATTCCAGCATCCAGCTCTGGGAGGTACCCCACCCCAGCTCTGAGAGCACCACCTCAACCTGCTCCTCCAGCCCCAAGGGTGGTCGGGGCTTCCGGCTATTGTTGGTCTCAGGTTGCCTCGCCTAGTTCCATCTTCAGCAATTCCTAAGTCCTTATTACTAGGTCAGGGCATTAACCTTTTCTCCTGACTGATAAAGTGCTCAATAATATGAGCTATTATTTTTAATCATTTTCAGATTTTATGCACTTTTGCAGTAATTATGTGTTCCCATGCCCCCCCACCATGTGACTATGTATTCAGAGTAAAAATAATGTGGGGCCAGCCCTGTGACATAGTGATTAAGTTCAGCGCATTCCACTTTGGTGGCCTGGGTTCACAGGTTCGGACCCCGGGCGTGGACCTACACAACTCATCAGCCATGCTGTGGACGTGTCCCACATACAAAATAGAGGAAGACTGGCATGAATGTTAGCTCAGGGCGAATCTTCCTCAGCAAAAAAAAAAAAAAGTCAGAATAATGTAAATGTAGCAGCTATTGCCAGTTGGTCCACCCAATGCCCATTTGCCCCTTCTCTGTTAGCAGGAGAATCTTTATTTAAGGAGACAATGTGTCTCACTAAAAATATGGTACTCTCCAGTCTGTCTGGCTGCTAGGGGCTGCTGTGTTATTTGCCACTGAACAAATTCCCAACTGACAGACAAGGCGTTGTCATTCATTTTTGTCCACCTGGGGATGCAGTTTTCTATCACCCTTGAGTTCACAATCCTGTGAGATGCACTCAAGCCCTTGGTCATAACTCTCTGCCTCCCCCTCCACAACAGGTAATTGTCTCTCATATTCACATTGCTTTGCTTGTTTCTAAACTTTTACCACCTATGTGTGCATCCTGAACACTGTAGCTTAATTTTGCCTGTTTGATTTTTATGATTGCAATTTTAAGAGCACAAAAGTACTGTTCACACTTTTCTCTTGCTTCCTTTGCTCAAAACTGTATACAAGATTCACCCATGCTCCTGCTTGCATGTAGCTGCAGCTCATTCATTTTCATTGTATTATATCCCATTGCGTATATAAATACACTGCAATTTATCTATCCATTCTACTGCTGATGGACACTTGGGTTGTTTCCAGTTTGGGGCCGTTCAATTAATGATGTTACCAACACTTGTGTCCAGGTCTCCTGCTGCACTTGGACTCACACTAGGGCATCTGTCCACCAGGGGCAAGTGGAATTGCTGGGTATTGTGTAATCACGTTGAACTTCACTAGACAAACAGTTTTCCAAAGTGTTTGCACCACCAAATAAACTAACTAAATAAAGAGAATAAGAAATAAAACAAACCAAAAAAGTGGTTGTACCAATTTACACTCCACTAGGAGTTTATGAGGGAGCACGCTACCCCACATCCTTACCCACTCTTATGAATGTCAGACTTCTATTTGTGCCCATTTTTCTGGTGTCACTTGGTAGCTCATTGCAGTTTTGATTTGCATTTCCCTGGCAACTAATGAGATTAGACTACTTTCCATGTTTATTGTCATCTACATATGCTTTTTTATAAAAACCTGTTTATCATTACCCATTTTTTAATTAATCTTTTTCTTGTTAATTCATACAAGTTCTTTGCATATTCTGGATGGCTGACTTTTGTGAACTGATATATTTTCTCCCACTCTGTAGCTTTCTTATCTACTCTTTTCTATGGAGTATTTTGATTAACAACAAAAAGTCCTAAACAAAACGTTAGCAAAGCAAATCTAGCAATGTATATAAAGAATAAAATATCATGACCAATTTAGGATTATCTGAAAAAATTCAAGGTTACTTTAACATTAGAAAAATGTTACATATTTTCCCTTCCTTTCATGCTTTCATGCTGGTTATGCACCTCTACGTTGATTTCATGACCACTAGTGGACTGCAACCCAGTTCAAAAACTACTGAGCTGGGGGCCAACCTGGTGGCAGAGCGGTTAAGTTTGCATGCGCTCCGCTTCAGCAGCCCGGGGTTTGCGGGTTCAGATCCCGAGCAAGGATCTACATACCACTTACCACGCCATGCTGTGGCCAGCATCCCACATACAAAGGAGAGGAAGATGGGCACGGATGTTAGCTCAGGGCCAGTCTTCCTCAGCAAAAAGAGGAGAATTGGTGGCGGATGTTAGCTCAGGGCTAATCTTCCTCAAAAATAATAAAATAATAATAATAATAATTTAAAAAAAAAAACCCTGAGCTAGTTCACCACCTGGCTCTCCCTCCCCACCTCCTATTACTTCTTCCAACACCCCTGAATGGTCCCCACTGCCCAATTCAGTCCACCTTCGTCCCCAAACCTACACGATCTCGCCCTGCTTTCCAGCCTCCCTTCTTGCTACCACTCCCTGCTCTGCCGCATTCTGTGCTACAGTCATACTGAGCTGCATTTACCACTCCTTGAAAATGCTCTACTTTATCTCACCTCTAGGACTCTGCCTGGAGCTCAGTCCACCTCCGGCCTGGCCGTCTCCCACGCCCTCCCCGGCTGCTTAGACACTTTAGCCAGTCATCCATCCACCATCTGCAGGTCAGGTTACTCCTTCCTTTATCCTCCCATTGCTTTGGCCTAAAAACGCACTCGGGCCAGAACAATGGGCATCCTTGAGCAGGGGCTCTAAGATCTCTATCACCTTTCTAAAGGAAATAGTATTGTCCTATGTCCATTTTACAGATGAGAAGACGGAGGCTCAGAAAGAGAACAGGACTAACTCAAAGTTCCACTGGAATTGAAATCAGTTAGGAATGCAACCCAGGTCTTCTAAGTCCCAAGCCAGGCTGAAGACACCATCTGCACAGGGTCCGAAGGTTGTTCTTCCAGAATCCCCTCTGAGGAGGTCAAAGCAGCAGCAGACTTTGGCTAGGAGTGTTCAGCCTTACCCCACTCCCTGAACTCAAGGGAAAGCTCGAAGTGAGCCCAGTACCCCAAAAGACCAGCACAGGCCTGGGGGCAATGAAGGTCAGACTCATCAAGTAAGCAAGAGATATGGCACATCCCCATCGGTGGAAGCAGGCCTGCCTCGCAGAGCCAGATAGGAAGATGGCCTGGGCATGCTCAGCTGCTGGCCCACTCCTTCTACACACAGGAATCAACATTTGGCCCACCGTGTGTGCTGGGAGCTATTCCAGGCATTAGGGATGCTCAGGGGAACCCGACAACACCCCTCCCCTCCTGAAGCTAATCCTAGTGTGGTGCTGCACATAGGATGTGTTGCGAGGTGGTGGTGGGTGCTTCAAAGACACATCAGCAGGGCCACAGAGCAAGCAGTGAGGGGGAACGCTAGACAGCGTACACAGCTACAGCCAGGCCGAGAAGGGGAGACCTGGATGAGGAGCCTGTCACATGAGAAGCGAGACTGTGATCCAGCCAGAGAAATCAGAAGAGCAAAGGCCCTTAGGAGGGAACTGCTTCTGGCTTAATTTTTAAAAACCTATTAATGTTCACATATATTATCTCATTTCAACCTTACTAGCAGAAAGACGTCATCGTTGTTTCATGAAGAAGGGATGTGGCCCAGAAAGGAAAATGTCTATCTTGCTGCCATAGAATTTTCAGTCCCAGCACAAAAAAGGACCTCTGGTCCCTAAGTCTGAGCCTTTGCACTTTCACCCTGGACTGTGTGGCCCCAAATTGCAGGCTGAGCTAGAAGGGCCCGAAAGCTCCTAATGGAGCCACAGGTGAGGAACCTGAGGCCCAAGAGGAACCTAAGTAGCAGAGTCACCCGCATCCAGATGACTGGTCTCCCAGGATGGGGTCCCCTCCACTGCCCCCGACCACTTGTCTCCCACATGGGTCCTGGGACCCCTAAGTCCCCTCACCGCGAGGGGCCTCACGGCTTACTAAGGCCATTGACGACCACCAAGGACGAGTCTCGTGACCCCCAGCACCGAGAAGACACCGAGGCCTCAGAAAAGCGAAGCGACCCGCCCCGGGCAGAGCCTGATCCGGCCCCAGAAGCCCCGATCCCACAGCCCCCAAGTCGCAGGACCCCCGGCCCCACGGCGCCCCAGTCCCAGGACCCCCGCCCCCCGGCGCCCCAGTCCCAGAAGCTGCGGCCCTACGAGACCCCAGCCCAGCGACAGCGGGCAGGAGCCGCCCCACGGAGCCGCGCACAAGACCCATTCCACGCCCGCACTTCTTCCGCCCTGCGCCCCGACCCGCCCGGTGCAGGCGATGCGCGATCCGGAGCCGCACTTTCGCCACTGCCCCGGACAGCCGCCCGAGAAAAGCGACGGCAAAAATGCGCTCTCCCCTGCTCACGACAGATCCTACCGTGGTGGCGCCTGTGAACGCGAAAGGCCGAAGACAAACCATTTTCTAGCGGCTCAAACGGCTCCGAGGGGTAGCGAATCTGCCGGGCCCGCTCGCCGGAAGTAGGGCTGCCCGTCGCCGGAAGTTTCGCTCCCTCCATTTTGTTGCCCGCTATGGCGGCGGTGTTGAGGTTGGGGCCGGGATGCGGCGCTTTTGACTGAGGGGGTAGGCCAGGCAGAGGCATCGGGACATCGGCGCGGCGCAGAAGAGGAGCAGCCTGGACGCCGGGGACGCTGTCATGTACGGCGCGAGCGGAGGCCGCGCCAAAGCCGAGAGGAAAAGCGGCGCGAAGGAGGAGGCCGGGCCCGGCGGTGCCGGCGGTGGGGGCAACCGAGTGGAGCTGCTGGTCTTCGGCTATGCCTGCAAGCTGTTCCGGGACGATGAGCGGGCCCTGGCCCAGGAACAGGGACAGCACCTCATCCCCTGGATGGGGGACCACAAGATCCTCATCGACAGGTCGGTTCCTCCCCCAACCCGTCGGTCCTCCCCTTCCCTCGCCTCCTCGATTCCGTCTGATGTTGACTTGATGGCCAAGACTGAAAGGGAGTTTCTGGAGCCCCTCCCCTGTCCCCACGTCCCCTGGTTTTGGGGGGAGGGGGACGGTGAAACCTGCCTTAAGGCACTGGCTGGAGTTGCGTGTCGCGTCTGTCGCCGGAGGGATCCGCTCTGCTCCCGGGGCCCCTCGCGATCCCTCACCCTTGTCGCTGGGTTCCAGCTGGCGACTCCGCGCGGTGGAAGCTGCCCGATCCCGGGCCCCTCCTGACCGGCGCTCCCGCGGGGTCGTGCGCCGCTTTCCTACCAGCTCGGTGTGGCGGGAGGGCAGCCCGACGCGCCGCACGCTGAGGCCGCGGTTAGAAACCTCTCGGACCCCGTGAGTCAGCCTTGAACCTTTCACGCCCCCAGCGCCCTCCTCTCTGGAGCGCCCGCATTTTGCCGGCCTGACGTTTGACACCCCCGGCCCCTCCTTCCCGCTCTCTGATAACCGGCGAGTTTGACAGATTCAGGCCGAGGGTGAAGCTGTCGATCAGTTGGAGGCCAGTTGACCTCCTGCAGACACTGGCCTTGCTCTTAGGGGTCGTGTTCTTAGGGCTGGTTTCACTGTCTCTTAAAACTGAAGGGTGGTACTGGGATACAGATGTGCTTCTTTTCAAATCAAACCTGCTTTAGGTAATCACCCTGGAGGGTGTTCAGCCACTATGGGCAGAGGGGTCCTGGGACGGGGATTTCTAAAGATGTTTGATTTGAAAAGGATGACATTACATGATGTAGGTTGTTTGCTCCCCTCTCCTCCCCTCCCCTGTTTTTAGTCCCCCTTTCCTTTTCCTCCCCTTTGGGGTTTTTCTGTTTGCTGATTGGTTTGGGTTTTTGCGGTTTGGCAACTTCACTTCTGGGGCCCCGGACTGAAACGCTAACGTGACCAGCCATTAAACGTGGAATAGTCTCTCCAAGTGAAGGAAGCCCATCGTTTGAGACAATTAAAACTGGATTCTACAAAGCCCTGGAACATGACTGTAGGGATGACCTCTGTGCTGGCCAGAATGGACACATTAGTGACCAAATAGGCCTTTTTCTATTCCTGACGTTTCTGTTTGGAGTTAGACCTAGACAACAAGGACTCGTGAAGGGAGGGTTGCCAGTTCAGGTCTGCACCTGATGGCTCCACTCTCTGCTGAAACGTGCTGTGCCTTTAAACCGTGGTTTCTGTTAAATGATGTTGCCTGAGTTGTCAGGCAGCTTGCTTTTCCAAAGTGTTACTTGTGATATTTATTATTAAAGTTCGGTAAGCAGTGAAGTCTGAGCTCTTTATACAGTTTTCCATGTCGTTCTGTATCTGATTTGAGTTAGGCCTTCCAAAGCTAGTGGGGAGCAAACGCTACACATGTATATGTGGAGTATTTTTAAATGATGATCTACATTTGTAAGTTAAGGAGGTTTACATCAAAGTAAAATTTTGAAATTTAATAAAATGCAGTAACTTGGCTACCCTGGAATTTTTGGGCTGTTTTTCTTGTAAATGTCTTTTTTTTTTTTGGTAGTATTTTTTGGTCCTCATCACAAAAGTCAGCATTAAAAGATTAGGGAGACTTTTGTTTGTCTCTCTACATTTGTTTTTGCAATCCTAAATCTGAACGTTTTAAGTAAAATTCGCTAACTCACTCATTTATTATCTGACAGTTGCACACTGACAGCATCTTCATTGACTCCTTTATGTTAAAAGTATAGCAGAAAGTGCTCTTCTTATTCTTAATTTGACTAAAGTACCTATTGGTCCATGCAAGTAAACATGGATGTGTCTTCATGTATATTATTTCCTGGGGGTGTAAAGTTTAGAAGAAAATATTTATACTGCATCTTCTAATAGTTTTGCTCTGTTTCCAGTGAACCTCCTTAAACTGCATGTATATGTCACTGTTCCTATGTATGTGTGTCTCTCTATCACATAACCCAGCACTTATTTCCTCAGCCAAGTGGCTAGGGGTCGAGCCTAGCCAAGATTTTACCTCCAATGGACGCAAGTTTCTTTGGTGAAGATCTCTCCTGAGAGTTCGGGACTAGCAGAAAGAAGCGAGGAAATTTCGACCGTTTGGTTCTTACGGATAGGTATTTATGTATTCGGTTTGTGTGAATGTAAGCTATGATATTTGACTTTTCCAGAAAAAAATTTTTTTTTTGCAAATGGCATTGAATGGTTGATCAAACCATAAACGGTAAGAATTGCCAGTGAAATGGATACCATTTATGCTATTAAAGGATCGTTTACCTTTAATTGTAAATTTGATCATATTGTAGAAAGGAATTTAGACTTTGTTAAGATAACTTGAGTTTAAAAGTAGGTGAGATATGACTAGCCAAATTCAATATAAATCTGAGAAGCATTTTTGTGTTTGTTTTAATATTTTTATTTCTTTATTTTAATCGGTAAGTATGTATATAAAACATCACACAGACACCAACCTAGACGTTAATTTCTTTCCGTTGACCAGTGTGTTCATATTACAGATATGATGGGCGCGGTCACCTGCATGACCTTTCTGAGTACGATGCTGAGTATTCCACATGGAACAGAGATTACCAGCTCTCTGAAGAGGAGGCACGAATAGATGCCCTGTGTGATGAAGAGAGGTATTTAGCCTTGCATACGGACTTGCTTGAGGAGGAGGCAAGGCAAGGTACTGCTCAAGAAAAACTTACTTAAGCAACAAACTTTTAAAAATTTTTTAAGTATTTAAAAATTTACTCCCATTCATTTTTTTATACTCACTCTTTCTGATATTATCTTGACAGTACCCAGTGGAGTGGAAAAACAGGAGTCTTTGCGTTCTGAGAGGACCTCAGGATAGTTTATATATAGAGCCACAAAGAATTTTCCCAGCTTTTGAGGGCAGACTGGGATTTGAAAAAACAAAAACCAAACTCTTTAACTGTTCTTCTTTAACAGTATCGTATAAACTAAATATTGATGTTCTTGTCTTTGCCTTAACAATCTTTAATGCAGTTCTTAATCCCCAAATTTCTCAGCAGGAAGAAATTGTCCACAAAAGACGTGTGTTCTGCTGTCTGTGGTAAACATGTACTGGCAAAAGTACATATTGATAGATATGAAGTGTGAATTTTTAAAAGCATTTTTGCCTCAAAAAGAGGTTGAAAAAAGTGTGTTGTATGCTTTACTGATAGCTACAACTTTAGCAATGTATAAAATTTTTCTCAGTAAATTTCCACGTTTGTTGATAAAATTCTCGTTTTTATTCAAGAGGAAGAATACAAGCGCTTGAGTGAAGCCCTAGCAGAGGACGGGAGCTATAATGCGGTGGGATTCACTTATGGTAGTGACTATTATGACCCGTCAGAACCCACCGAGGAAGAGGAGCCTTCTAAACAGAGAGGTAAGAGAGGAGCACTGCCTGGGGGTGTTGGGCAGTGCTGCACACGTAGTGCTAAAGTCTTCAGAACTCAGGTACGGAGACCGAGCCCTGAGAACATCACTGTGACACACAGAACATTGGTGGCATTCCTTCTTAGGGTAGAAAACTAAAAGCTAGAAAACAGATTGTTAATGGAGATGGAAAGTGAATTCAGACTTCCATTATCTGCGTTAGATCTCGTGCCTTTCCATTTATTTCTCTTTGATTGAGGTAACAGGAAATTACTCACTCTGGATTCTTGGTTTCTAGATTGATGATATATGCGTTGAGATCAGCAGTGATTTTGTTCCTGGGGCATTTCAAGGATAGGCATTAACTACCTGCATGCTAACCTGCTTCTTCATTCCCCTCCACAGCTGAAATAATGGCAGGTGTCCAGTGGAAGGACACCTGTGGAGTCAGTTATTACTAAACAGAAAGGAGCACAAGATACCCTGCTTGGGCTTGGTAGGCTGTAGGACATATGCTTAACCACAGTGTCATAAAATAATATTTACATTAAATTAAAGATTTAAATTTACACTTTTGTGGATTAACTCTGGGAACTTTGAATATAAAAAAATAGTGCCACTAAAAATCTGGACTCAGTACAGGAACAAATATCTTTAGTTGTTTTGGTAAATCCTGAGAGCACCATTCTTACAGCCCTGTATAATTATCAGTCGTTAATTATCAATAATGGTAACACAAACCTGAAACATTAAGGATGGATCACTATGTTCAGTATATTCTGTTTAAAGAGAAGGAGAACTTTAACTTTAGAAAACCATTCAAATGTTTAGAAGAATAAACTGGAATCACATACACAGATTTAATTTTAGAGATAAGTGAATCTATTATTTGGGACTTAATTGGTTTCTCCTTAAGTGACAAACCTCCTAACAAGTATGAAGTAGTTATAGCAGTTTAATGTTAAAACAAAATGCTGTCTGCCTTGTGTGGTGCAGCTGCCCTGGGGTTCTCCTGTCCCCTTCAGCAAGGGGCATGATCTTGGCAGTACAAGAGGATGTGGGGGCAGACTCGTCCAGGCACTTGCCTTATTGCCCGCCCTTGTCATCCTGCTCCTTATTTTGTGGGCAAAAGAGTCACTGTTGCACGGCTGTGTTCTATGAGCTTCTAAAGAGACTTTTCAAATGTAATTTTAACTGTGTTTGAGTTAAAGCCTCGTTAAGGTATTTAACACCTTTTGCATCGACGTTTGGACCTATCTGTACCAAAGAAGTTATGATGCACAGAAATGTTCTTGCATGTCTAAGAAATAAACACTTATTCCTTTATCCAGAACAAGTTACCCATTTTAGGGTGCTGAATAGCTCAGATTTTGCTGTGTCATCTCTGAACCATATACATTATATCTGCCTTAAATACATAGTGTTTTCATCAGAAGGAAGGAATGCACTCTGTCAACATTTCACAAGGGAGGAATTAAAATTTGTAAAGACCACATGTCTTTGCAAGATCAAGTGGACTATCTTTGCAAAAGTCCATAATGTTCATTTCGTAACATTCTGGATTAGGAATCAGCAAACTATGACCTGAGGCCCAGTAGGTGTGTTTTTGTAACATTTTATAGGAACACAGCCATGCTCATTTGTTTGTGTATTGTCTATGCGGCTTTTGCACTCCCAATGGCCGAGTTAAGTAGTTGAGACAGAGACCATGAGGCCTGAAGAGCCAGAAATATTTACTGTCCGGCATTTTATAGAAAGAGGTTGCCAGCCCCTGTTCTCGGTGTTGGACTGTTGTCTCAGTGTAATTATTGAGCTAAATGATATAAACTTGGTTATTATTACTGAATTTTAAGAACTTCAAGGTGACTTAGTTTCTCTTCCAAGTTTTAGTATGCTTTTTCTTTAACGTAAAGTTCTCTTTAGTATTTTATAAAGTTTTTTCTTTCTGTAATCACATTCTCAAAACTTTATTTTATATGCTGATTAATTTTTTTAATGGAAGTTGGGCCCTTGTAAAATTTACAGCTTGCCTTTTTATGTTTAACTCGCACTAATATAAATAAAATGCCACATATATAAATAAACGTGATACACACACACACATGCTTGTATACCTATATACACACACGTGTGCATTTAATAGAATTCAGATTGGTAGCCAATGGCACTAACAGCCAAATTTTACTTTACTGTTGCATTATCTTAAAATTAAAAAATACACTAATTTTTTTTATTTTCCTGAGTCAGCATCAGCATGTCTAAATGTTCCTTGATTTTCAAAGTTAAACTATTGTCCTGGCAATTTTGAATATTTTAAAACCTCTTGATACCAACCAGAAGTGTTTTAATGACACCTTTATTTCTATGTAACTTAACTCCTCTCTTCCTTTTTGTAGCATTCTGTTTTCAGCCTGTTTCCTATCCTTCAGATTTTCATAATTTTTTGTCATTATTACATATCCATTTTTTTTTTTTAAAGATTTTATTTTTTTTCCTTTTTCTCCCCAAAGCCCCCTGGTACATAGTTGTATATTCTTCGTTGTGGCATGTGGGATGCTGCCTCAGCGTGGTTTGATGAGCAGTGCCATGTCCGCGCCCAGGATTCGAACCAATGAAACACTGGGCCGCCTGCAGCGGAGCCCGCGAACTTAACCACTCAGCCATGGGGCCAGTCCCTACATATCCATTTTTTTAAATGAGGAAGGTTATTTGAATTTATGTGAATCTTAGTTAGTATTGCAATGGTTGGTGGTTGTTTTGTGCTACTAAAGCCGTTTTTCTGTACATAAAGTTATGTGTAGGAGCCAGTCTGTGTGACCCACTTGTTCCAAACAGCTCTTTCGATTCAAACAGCTTCACTTTTGTGAACAAATTCTAAGGAAAGGTTATTTGAACAAAGTTTCCATCACTCATTTTACAGAGATACAGTAAAAGTTATATTTTAATACACCTTTGGCCTCATTCCCAAAGACAGTTTAAGTTGTTACTTGGCATGTTGCAAACTGCCATTTCTAATATCTTCCACTTGCACTGTGTCATTTGGTTATTGGAGCTGAAAAATGGGGTTGTTGACAACAGGGAGTTTTCAGGCCGTAGTAAATCTCTGGTTCTTAGGAGAGAACAAGGGTGCTTAGCAGAAACAAGTGGGACTCTGTTAAATAACTCTTAATAGGAATTTATAATCAACCTGTATTTTATCACACTGCAATACCCAGGTTTTTATGTGTGATGAAACATGCTTAAAATTCCTCTGGCTTCACAGAAGAAGTAGGTTTGATAGCATACCTTTGAAATTGTTCATCTCTTCAAAAGACTTCGTTGTGTATGATGGAAACATTTGTTTTGATGAAGATTTAATGTTTGTTTACTTAGTCACCTTTTTTAAAAGAAAAACCTATGTAGATGTTGAAATCCTTAAAAATGTTAACTTTCATAAATTTTTTACTATACTTTTGTACATTTCACGGTGTCCTTTTAAATTGGTGATCACCTGAGTGATTGAGATGTATGTAAGTGCCTGAGAATTCAGAAAGGTATAATGTGTAGTGCCTTGTCTAATACATAGTAGACAAATGTTTGTTAAATGAATTGTAAATGAATAAATGGAAATGGAAAAAATACGTCTGGTGATTTGTGAAAGAGAGGTAGTTTGCTTGGGTGGCGAGGTCTCAGAGATTTTACAGTTCAATGGTGAAAATCATTTATCTCGGAATTGAGCTGTGCCGTGTGCTCTGCCTGGCACTTGGGAATCCACAGAGACAGTGTGAGGGGAGATCTCAGCAGTGCCAGGTAAACACATGCACAGGTCAGAGAGGCTGCAGAGAAGGAGAACTGCTAAGTGCAGAGCATCATGGTGGAGATGCTCACACGCATTGTCTCACCAAAACCTCACCACATGGCCCTGGGAGTGGATGCTGCTACTGCATTTGTAGGGAGGATCTAACTGAGGTGGGGAGCAGTGGGAGTACTTGCCTGGGGTCCCAGAGCTAGCTATCATCTGCCCCAGGTGCACACTCTTCGACTGCACCACCCGCCTCTGGGGTTTGATGAAGTGACTGTGCTTTCATGTGGTGGAATAGAACAGCAAACTGGAAGGTGTTTCTAGAGGTAATGATGGGTGGAGAGGTCAAGAACCAGCTAATGCCAGTCACTGCTCCCCTCATGGTTGCTTATTATTGGCGGGCACCAGCTTTCCTAGCCGTTGTTCTGAAGTGTTATGTTTTCTTTTTATACAGAAAAAAATGAGGCTGAAAATTTAGAGGAAAACGAGGAGCCTTTCATTGCCCCTTTAGGATTGAATGTCCCGCCTGACGTGGAGCTGGTATGTGTGTTTCTCCTTCACAATACGGTCATTCATGTCACTGTGTATCATGAGTTGCTACTTGTGTGACAGCCCATGGTAATCATAAGTGTGAGGTATGTAATGCTGTAAAATCATTTCTGAGTTAATGGAGAGAAAATCAGCCCCTGCCTATTTTCCTGTAAAGAAAAGGGGAGTAATTAAAGCAAAATCACTACGCCAGAGCACCAGCGACTTGAGGAGCTGGCTCTCAGAGATCATAGGGTTGAATCCCCAGTTTTACCAGCATGGAGAACCCGAGTCAGAACTACTGGTGTGTAGGCTGATAGCCATGTTTGGACGTGAAGACAGTCTTCCTCCGGGCAGCGTGGCTTTCAGGAGAGTGGCTTTGCTCTGGCTTTTCTGGAGTGGTTTGGTGGACACTTAGGGCAGGTTGCTTTACCTTCTGTGTTCTTGGCGCTCAATTTTCCACCCTCTTTTCCTCTCCGTTGTCACTGGGCCTGTGGCGTCTCCAGGAGGCCCTTGCCCCCATGGGGAAATCCTGGGTGGATTCCTCCTGGTCTGAGTCCTCGGCCACCGGTTGTCAGCACAGCTGAGTCTCTAAGTCACATTGAGCTCACCCCACCATTTCGGCCACATCCTGTTAAGGTAAATTATAATGGGCCTCATTGAGAGCTTTCCACGTATAATGCTCATAACCCGTAAGGTAGCTGCTGTTACTCTCCCCATTCAGATGGAGACAAGTGAAGAATTTGGCTTGAAAATGGCAGGCAGGGACTCAAACCCCTCGTCTTTATTGTTGTGTCATCAGGAGTCACCATGCTTTATGGGCGTTTTTTGTGTTTATTAGGGATATGTAAAATACTTTTGTTGTGTACATACTTGGGAGGGCTATTTGTGCTCATTGTAAAGTTTCTTTTTTGGAGTTTTCCTAACTGGATTGCAAGAGCTGTGGATGCAGATATTCCAGGTTCTTGTTTGTGTCCTGCACACTGAATCTTTGGATATACGGTGAATGCTGCAAACTGCCCCCAGGAAGAGTCTCTTACGTTCTCCCCACCCTCACTTGCTACCACCCTGATCCAGCTCAGCCTGGATTTGATGGTTCCTGTCCTTTTTTTCTTTTACTTTTTTTTGGGGGGGGGGGGGGGGTGGGGTGAGGAAGATTGGCCCTGAACCAATATCTGTGCCAGTCTTCCTCTCTTTTGTGTGTGGGATGCTGCCACAGCATGGCCTGATGAGTGGTGTGTAGGTCCGTGCCCAGGATCTGAACCTGTGAACCCCAGACTGCCGAAGCAGAGCACAAACTTAACCACTCCCCCACCGGGCCAGCCCCTGTCCTTCATTTTGATGTGATGACAGGAGATAGCAGAGTAGCCTGTTAATTCCTGTCTCTGCCCTTTCCTTCCTTCACTCACTCATTTGCGTAGCCTCTCCTTTCCTTCCTCTTTTTTCTTACAAATATGAGTAAGAAGTTCTGTGGATTTTGCCAAGTGGAATTACTACTTGTGTTTGCTTCCCCCCGTTTCCACCATTGATTAGTTTGCTATAGTTTGAGCTGAAAATTTTACTCAAGATTTGGTAGCCTAAGACTTATGTTAAAATATTTTCTATGTATTGTTGTGTATTGTATTCCTACTTGTTCTGGAATATATTGTTTATGCTGTGTGGCAGACCCGTTGTAAATGGGTTGCTCCTTTACCTATGTTTAATGCTAAAGACTTTTATTTGAGGTTGACTGTATGGAATTTTATTTATTTTTGATATGGAAGATTATTTTTTTACTTTTATGCAAATATAAATATAGAGGTGTAATATTTTGTTACCTTATTTATTTCCCATTAAAATATTTAATGGCTTGTATTCTCAGCTAAAGTAAGCATCACTAAGCTGTTTAATGGTTTACCAGACCTGAAAATATTCCCTGCCCATTGGAGAGCAAAGTCAGCCCAGTGTCTAGTGATTTGCTCTCTTAATGTTGAAGCGTGTCTTCCAAAAGTATTATAGAACGGCCTCTTTAGTAGGAAATTGTTTGAATTATGTAGAAACTGTATTTGAGTGCTTATTAGGTTGCTGACATGCAGCTTTCTTTTCCTTTATGATAGTGTCAGTATTTCATTCTTCACAATTATTGTGATTTGGGGGCAGTGGTTCATGGTATAAATTATACACTGTGGTGTCCACATTAGTGGAGAACATGTAGAAGACAGAGGTGTTCTCATCGTTCATTCTGCTTGGGTGACTAAAGGCTGAAATTGCTGGCTTGTGTTTAGATGGACAGTTGCTGCCTTTAGTGGGCAGGAGTTGCTCTAACTGCTGGCCATGGCAGGTGGGGCGCTTGGTAAAGAGAGTAGGTGCTTTAGAGGAATTCTCCCTGGTTTTTAAACTAGACTTTTGGATTAGACCTCAGGAGGTTTTGTGTGAAGAGTAAGGAGTAGTTAGAAATTCCAGCACTCTGGGAGGCACATGTTGGCATCTGCTGGAGACTGGCACCTCTGGGGCTGTCCTCCTCAATGAACCCCACACAGCCCTCCCTCCTGAGTCCGTGTCTGCTGGGCCTCTAGACCTGAGCCCCTGAGGTGACCTCACGTCTTTATTTTAGTTTCTCATAGAGACTCTGTGGTGTATAATTTGTGTTTCATGGGAAGTAAGAACCTTTTTTTTCCCCGAGTATGTAGCCCAGCGTCGTTTGACCCGACATCATGTCTTCAGTCATCTGTTCCTTTCCCAGGGACCTGAATGCCCATCTGTGTCACCTCCTGAGTTCTGCACATGCCTGAGCCTGTTTCTGGGTGTATTCTGCTCCATCCCTGGTTGAGTTGGGTCGTGTTGGTGTCCCCCACACCTGGCGCACACCTGGAGCACTGCTGGGAAGATAGAGAGTGTCTCTCACCCACCAGAGACTCCACAGGTGGCACAGGTTGAATCCTGAGCCCAAACGTTGCTTCCACAAATAATGCTTGCAGGTGCACGGGGTTGCGTGGACCTGCCTGTTTTGTAGCATCTCACCTTTCACTCAGGTCAGCCGTGAGGGCCAGAAGTGCTGCTGCTCAACAGACCCATTAGAATGCATTTCTAAGGGAAATGTGCTCATTTAAACACATTTTATGGACAAAAGGAAAAAGGGGAGGATTCAATATATAATTGCCATCACATGCAGTGTTTCTGTCTGTTAGATTAATAACAACAACATAAGATAACCATCTGTTGAACACGTACTGTGCCCCAGTTGCTGTGCAAAGTGCTTTACTCACATTCTCACTGAGTCCTCACAATACCAGTACCTCTGTGAAGGAGATACAGTGGTTGTCCCGTTTCCAGATGGTGGGAAGTTCCAGATGAACCTCCAGATGCTGAGGTTCAGAGCGGTTTGGGGCAGCTGTCCCTGGTTAGGCATGTAAGGGTCAGCCTGCAGTTCCCGCCGAGTGGCTGCCCCAGAGCTCTGAGCCACTGAAGTTAGGCTTTACTGAATGTCCTTCTGATTAGAGCATTATTTTCACCATAAATTAAGGTGCTGGATTGCCACGGGGTGTAAGGGTGGGGAGGAAAAAGAAACTTGATTTGCTCTTCCATTCCTGTGGAGTCACTATGTTCCTTTATGGTGTCAGATTTTGAATCTTGTTTCAAAAGACCTTTCCCACCCCTGTTAAAACTATTTTCCAATATTTCCTGCTATTACTTCTATAATTTTGTTTTTGCAATTGAATTATGACTTGATCTGATAATTATTTTGGACTCTAAGTGAAATAGGCATTAGTTTTTCTCCTCTGATCACAGCGGAGAGGGCTTGCCCAGCTGCTCCAGGGGTCCCTCCTGTATTCACCCCACCTTCCATCCTGGGCCACCTGGTCCTGGTCTCCGGCTCCAGGCATCTGAGCTCCAGCATTTTCCAAAGCTCTGAGGAAACCTCACACGGTTTCCTCATAGTCTCCCATTTCCCAGTGCCTGCTCTGGAGTTTGTAGGGCTGCATTAATTGCATTTTGTAGGAACAGGAAGGTGTTAGCCCACTTTCTTGGGTTCAGTCACTTTCTTAAAGCCTTTCCCATTGGGTTTAAATTAGAACAGCATTTTCCCCTTTATCAGTCAGTCTTTGTAACACATGCGTATTTCTATGTTGCCTGTATCCTTAAGATTCCATTTTATAGTAGAAATAAACAAGATGTTCTAAAGTAGAAAAGGATTTATCTAAAACTTAAATGATAAAGACAGCAAAGAATAGTTTTTCCAAACCAAGCGTTTTTATCTCATATCCACTGGCTCTGGTAGGAGATCTTGAAGGATGTTCATAAGGTGCTTTGTTTTTCTATAATCATTATTGCTTTTTAACTCCTAGAGCCGTAATATTACAGCATAAATGGGCCTCCTTTTAAGAAATTTTAGACCAACAGATTGGTTTGGTCAGAATGCCTCTACTGAGGGGGATAATCTTATTTTCCTTTAAGGATCAATATTCTGACGTGATCATTAATAATTGACATGTGGGGGCCAGCCCTGTGGCCAAGTGGTTAAATTCACGTGCTCCGCTTCAGTGGCCCATGGTTTCATGGGTTTGAATCCTGGGAGCGGACATGGCACCGCTCATCAGGCCATGGTGAGGCGGCATCCCACGTGCCACAACTAGAAGGACCTGCAACTAAAAAATATACAACTATGTACTGGGGACATTTGGGGGAGAAAAAGCAGAAAAAAAAATAGATAAATAATTGACGTGTATATGGAATACAGTATTTCAAAAGTTAATCTTGCTTTTTGGCCAAAGCCAATGAAAATCTGTATCAGGATTCATACTTCAGTGCACAGTGGGCCTTTATCATGCAATCTAGTTTATTTTGTGATCAGTAAATAACATTAATTTTAGGCATTTATCCTATTTAACTGCAAAGGATGTTATTAATTCAGGAATTAAATCTGGGAATTAAGGTGTTTATTTTATGAAGGATGTGGCCCTGAAATTGCAGTAAGCATCTTGAATTCTTAAGTCCCCATTTTTAATGAGAATAATTTCCCGCTTTATTTGCATGTAATTTTCTAGTGTTAATCTCTTTGTTGATATTAAAAGTATTTTAGATGTATGGCTTCCAGCTTTGGGTCTGACAGTTCCATTGTGGGTCGGAAGTGCTAAGCGCATATCAGGAGCCTGTGCAGGGAAGAGGCAGGGCTTGGCTCCCAGTAATAAACAAGGCAGCAGGATGACTCACCTCCCAGTTGAAAGTGAGACCCTCCCTGCTCTGGCCAGACCACACCCAGATGGGCTTCTCTATGGGACTTTACTTTCAAAGGGAATGTCGATGAACTGGAGCCATGAGCTGGGTCTTATGGGGAATAGGAAGGAAGAATGTGGTGAGGAAGAGTTTAGGTACAGAACATGAGCATGTGGCTTTCTTCAGATGTTCAAAGGGCTCTTTGCCAAGCTATAAAAACTAGCCCCCGGGGCCAGCCCCTTGGCCGAGTGGTTAAGTTCACAAGTTCTGGTTCAGGTCCTGGGCACTGAGCTAGCGCCTCGTCAAGCCATGCTGAGGCAGTGTCCCACATAGCAGAACCGAAAGGACCTACAACTAGAATGTACAGCTGTGTACTGGGGGGCTTTGGGGAGAAGAAAAAAAAAGCAAGAAGATTGGCAACAGATATTAGCTCAGGGCCAGTCTTAAAAAAAAAAATACAACACTCCTGTTGGGGAAAAAAAAAAAGCCCCAGCTAAGAAAAAGGAAAGAGGAGTGATTCTTAGATCCTTGAGAAAGTTGTTGAAATGTGTGCCCCTCTCCACAGAAAAATACTTACATATATGCAAAATTTGCATACAATTTCCGAGGATTTACAACCCCTTGAATCCTATCACAGAACCCGGTTAAGGACCCCTGTTATATGGAAATATGTTGATTTGGTGCAAAAAAGAGTGCCTCCCATCCGTTCCACAAAGCTGGAATGGCCTGCCTCGGAAGGTGAATTTCCTCCCCACAAAATACTGTGAAATTCAGAAATAGACTGAGTGTCACGTAACCAGGGGCAGGGCCAGAATCTGTTCAAACTGGACTCTTCCCATTGAAATGTCTCTTGTTTCTTATAATTGACAGTGAAACCAGCATTATTTCTATGTTTTACGTCATGTGGCCAGTGGAAAAGAGGATAATGTGAATGTGTGTGTTTTCTCGTAGCCACCAACAGCCAAAATGCATGCTATCATTGAGCGCACCGCCAACTTCGTATGCAAACAGGGAGCACAGTTTGAAATCATGCTGAAAGCCAAGCAGGCCCGAAACTCTCAATTTGACTTTCTACGTTTTGATCACTACCTCAACCCCTACTACAAATTCATCCAGAAAGCTATGAAAGAAGGACGATACACGGTACTGGCAGAAAACAGAAACGAGGACAAAAAGAGTATGTGACCCTGTCTGTCCTGTTCAGACTCTGCGCCTGGGGCGGGGGCGGGGCAACTCTGGGAAGGTATAACGACAGTCATTGTTATGGATACCGGGTTGAAGTCTGCACTTTAGAGTTTCCAGAATGTTTGTGAAATCTTGCCCTTAAGGCATGATGGTTAACCCTGCTGGTGCACGTGATACAGTATAAAACTCTTCTTGATAAGTCTTGAAAATACGTTAGATTCTTAATTAACGTTTTATAGATGGGTGAAATGTAGTGAAATATTGATGCCCTCGGGCCCACCGCGTGGTGCAGAGGTTACATTCACACGTTCTGCTTCGCGGGCAGCTTGGGGTTCACAGGTTCGGATCCCAGGCATGGACCTATGCACCACTCATCAAGCCATGCTGTGGCCGGCATCCCATGTAAAGTAGAGGAGGATGGGCACGGATGTTAGCTCAGGGCCAGTCTTCCTCAATAAATATATATGTGTATATTGATGCCCTCAGAGCATAATCATCTGGTTGGAAGTGTTTCCTGTCATTTTGGCTGATTCACTTTCTGTAGAGCAAACCGTGACTCGTGCTCAGTGGGTTATTGCAGCAATACCCTCGCTCCAGGCCTAGGGCCTGGAGTGGAATCATACTCCTCCACAGATCACTTGTACTGTTTTTTTACCCATCTCTATGTTAAGCTGTCGTTTTTATGACGGTGTCTAAATTTGGATGCTTGCTACAAAGGCCAGTCAACTCTCGTCAATAACATTGAGAGCAACAGTCTCTGTGTCTGCCGTTGAATTTTTCTCTCTTCGGTTGAAACATGATTTTCAAAGTCAGTCATATAAATCTTACTACAGATTGTATCTTTTCTATGATTGTTCTGGTTTTTAAAACTATTCCTGTTGTTTTACCTTTCATAATCAGTAAGATTTTTGCCTTTTTCTAAAAATTAAACTATACAGTGTCTCCCAACTAGGGAGCTCTGGGGGGAGTTTGCTGCAGGGCCAGGTTGTGCTCCTTTCTTCCTCCTGACTTTCTGCTGGACACCTTGGGTGGCCACGTTACAGGGGAGATTTTCAAAGGTGTTTTTGGGACAGATAACCGAGAAATGACTACATGTAGCTCTGCCTTTGTCTGCTTCTCGGTTTTTACATAGTTTATTTGTGTCTTGTCTCTTCCTATACGCCAAAATCGTGAAATGCACTTGTGCTTTCAGAGTCAGGGGTCAGCTCTGACAATGAAGATGACGATGACGAAGACGACGGCAGTTACCTGCACCCGTCTCTCTTTGCTTCCAAGAAGTGTAACCGCCTAGAAGAGCTAATGAAGGTTTTTATCTCTTTATTGAACTGTATTTTTTATGCAGTAACAAAACAGCTAATTTAATTTTGTAAAATTATTAGGCATTTCTTCTGTATGATAGCTGTATCTTATTTTATCGTCATTGAGGTATCATTTGCATTTTTGTTTTTAGCTTGGTGGCAAAGGGTTTGCTTCGTTTATTTCTTACATATTCTCATTTTATAAAATTCATGAGTGCGTTATTTTTATTTTACCGTAATTTTACCATTTGGGATATTTAGAATAGGAGAATGTCAGTTAAGACTGGGAAATTGTTTTGTCATGTAGATTTCATTATAATAGGATTAGATTTTACAGCTGTTCAGTGCTGCTTGAAATAATTCGTTACCTTCACAGGTAACAGAATATGTTACCTGAAAGCATAAACTTTTTCTTCTGATCTTCTCCTCATCCTTACTATAAAGGAGTCACTCATCATTGTCCTGTGGTTAATTCACACCACTCATACTGGGTTTTGTGAAATAAAAAACAGGAGTCTGTTAGACTTAAGCATATCATTTCAACAGTCATGTAGTGTGGCTGAGCCCTTCAAGGAATGATTGTTGATTGATTGGACTTCAAAAGCTGTTGGTGATTAAAAATCAGAAATTTCTTTAAAGAAGGACAAAGTTTCAAGTTTTGAGTGAATTTGGACGCTCGTACTTTTATCAGTAGCAGTCTAGTCTAATCATCCCTCCTTCCTTTCCTTACTGGTTTTTAGGAAGATTGAGGTTATCTGTTTACCCAGTTCCTCTGGAGCTCACAACTAGCTAGAGTACTTTGCCACAGTCAGGACCTCCATGTGTGCAGGTGCGTGTGTGCACGTGCTGAGGTTGCTGAGGTGCATACACTGTTTCCTAAAGTTGAGCTGAGGCTTCTTGCCACAGAAGTGTTCTGCGTGTCTCAGAATACAGAAAATAGAGTGACCGTGCATTCTCTCTCTGTAGCCTCTGAAGGTGGTGGACCCGGATCACCCCCTTGCGGCGCTGGTCCGTAAAGCCCAGACTGACAGTCCCGCCCCCACCCCACCCACAGCAGATGGCGGAGCCGTGCAGCCCTCCCAGGTGGAATACACCACTGACTGTGAGTACCTCGCTGTGTGCGAGTATCTCACCGTGCACCCCCCAGCCTGCAGCAAGCTTCAGGGCTTAACCAGCAGGCTGTCACGGGGCGGGGAAGCAGGCAGTGTGGGTCTGGTAGAGGTGCCATGAGGAGCCCAGATCCTTGGGTCTTCCTCTTTAGGCTTCCTTAGCATGTGGCCTCGTCCTTTTGCGTCTCACCTAATGTTGGCAAGATGGCTGCTTCATCTCCAGCGTCAGCTCTGTGTTTCAGCAGGACGGAGAGGAAAGGCAATGGCAGAAAGCAGGTGCTGGGTGACTCTGCCCCTCTTCAGAGAACCCTCCAGAAGTCATGCCTGGTGACTTCCTGTAACTCATGGGCCAGGACCATGTCACATGGCCTTCCCATCACTGCTGCCCTAAACAAAATCAAAGTTCTGTCAAGAGGAATGGGGAGAATGGACACTGGTGGACGTGGTGTGTTGTCTGCCATGGTTGCTTTCTTGAAAAAGACACAGCTTAAGACAGCATATGATATCCCCCTCAGAATTAGTTACACTTCTTACTTATTCTCTCTGATTGCTAGTGTTTTGTCTTTTTAATTACTTAAAGATTATTAATAGAAGGCAAATTTTGAAGTTCTATTCAAGAAGTCATTTGAAAGTATTTGATTTTGAGCTCATTATCAGGTCTTTTTTAAGTGGTTTTATTCAGAGGTTAAATATTGAATGAGAGAAGAAGCTTTGGCAAAGCCCCAGGAATTCATGTGTTCAGCCTGCTTCACATGGAAATCTGATATAATGAATCCATCTATAAAGCTTGTCATTTTCAGTTAAAGATTGGAAAATCAGCCTGAGATTAATTCTCTTTTAAAATGTAAGCTCCTCATTATTTAGGACCAAGCTTTTGTTAAAAATGTTAACAGTGTTCTTTTGCACTTCCCTTCTAGCACTGCCATGCAATTATGTGTAATTTCAGTGTGCTAAATTAACATTTTTAGACTTTAAAAATCAGTTACTTGAGTGAATGTCTGCGTATGTCCTAAAAAAAACCTCTTAAAGAACTCAGGTAATTTCTTTAAACGATTAAATCAGGTCAAACCAAATTTCTTTAGATGTTCAAATCAAAGAGCAGATCTTGTGTCATGCAGTTGCGTCTTCGTGATTGGGGTCCAGTGTCAGTGCATATTGTAAACATCACGAAAGGCAGTTACCCCGCGGCGTTCTGTAAGTCACTCATAGTGCCCGTGCTCGCGGCTACCCCCAAGGTGTTCTATAAGACAGTCATAGCGCCGTATTCACGGCTACCCAAGAGGCGTTTTGTAAGTCACTCATAGCGCCCATACTCATGGTTATCCCCACGGCGTTCTGTAAGTCACTTATAACGCCTGTACTCGTGCGTCTGTCCTTGCGGCTACCCCTGAGGCCGTCTGTAAGTCACTCACAGCGCCTGTACTCCTGGTGGGGATCATTGTGTAGATGCCCACACAGATGAATCAGGAGGCAGGAGTGACCAGGAGATTCTGCTCCCATCTTACATCAGTCCAGGGTGTGAGTTCGCTGAGTGGAACGTCTCTCCAGTGTCCGAGCTTTCCTTTTTCAAACCTGTCTAAATTTCTGTAAGTTCAGTGCAGTGCACATCCTCTAGATTGCTAAAGCTGTAACCTTTGTTGCATGGGAAAAGGATAGGAGTTCGGGGCAAGGTGACCATGCCCGTGATTATTCATTCTGCTTCTCACCGTGAATATACAGTTAAATGCTTGGGTCACTAATGGTGTGATATGTCTGCAGACCCTACAGGGCTGGGGCAGGTGGGGGGGACCAAGCCAGCAGTGGAGCAGGCTGAGAGTAGCTGCTCTGTGACACGCGGTTTTACTGTGAGATCCCATGGTCTGGTTGGTGACGATGTCCTGTGTGATGTAATGGCAGTGTGGAAGATCAGAGGGGTGGGCAGGTTCCAGGGAGCTCACTGCAGGGCTCCTGGAGCTGCACTGACCTCAGTCCCTCCCATGGCCCACTGAGGGCCCTGAAGGCCAAGGTGAGCCGTGACAGCCTCTGCCCCTGGGAGAATCCCACACTTGCTCTGTGCAAACCCTGCAGGCCATTCCACAAGTGTGATGTCCTGATTCCCTGTGGTTCAGCCAACAGATGTGATGTCTTGGTTCTTTGCCTGACACATGACCCGCAATAGGAAGTGTCCCAGCACTCTTGTCCTCAGTAAAATAGTTGTTTTGACATTTGACATCCATCTTTTCCTTCACATGGTGCAAGAGTGACAGACACGTGTAGGACAAGGTGTTTGGGGGTGGTGCCTGGTGTTTAGGTTTTAGACCAACGCCCTGCATTGGGAGCCAGCCTTAACGTCTAGCCTGTCTAGCCCAGCAGAGATGAAGGAGTAGTGCTGACAGAACCCGTGGCTGATTAGATGTGGATTGTGGCCGTGCCAGAAGGCAGGAACCAAATTCCAGATTTTCCAGAAAAGCAAGAAATCCAGAAGGACAGTTTACAAACGTCAGCAGTGAATTCATAGTCTGTAAAATTACAAGGCAGTCCATCAAAACATTGGCAAAACAGGTGCTGCTCATAGGTGCCTGCCCGCGTCCAGCCTCTGCTGTGGATGCAGGTGGAGTCCTGGGCACAGGGGCAGCAGGACAGCAGGGCATCACAGAGCTTCTCCACGGAGTCCATGGTCAGCTAGGGCCAGGGAAGGGGGCTCTAAAGTACAATTCCAGTTTCACAGTGAACACATTGTTACCGGAAGTGACAGCAGTTTTGTTAAAGGGTGGAGGACAAAAGCTGGACTACAAATGGGTGGTGCAGAAATGGAGACCTGAGTGCAGACGTCCTGTGAAACTCAGCTCTGAAGAGGGGAGGGGGCAGTGCCTGCCGGAGAACAGGCGTCCCCTTGAGAGTGCCCTCCATGAGCATTGGCCTTTAGGGTCACCATGACAACTGCCTTCCAGGATCCAGGAGTCGCAGGGTGGGAGAGGTGGCCTGGATGGTTAGATGGGCTGATCCGAGTTTCCAGGAAGAGCCATGGGCTAGAAGTTGGGTCTAGACCACAGTAACGCCCAGCAGAGATGAATGTAGACGCCTCTGCTCAGGTCTCAAAGATGTTTCTTTTTATCTATGGTTATCCAAAAAAAGGCAAGCAAGAATTTGAAAAAGAGGCACAATAAAGGGAGATGTGCCCTATCGGATAATAAAGTGAGATGATGTAGTAAAGACTTCTCAGAGCTTAAATAGTTGCTGATTTGAACAAAATATGCAATTAGAACACATCTGAAAATCGTACATATGGGCCTGAGCTATCTTTTAAGTTGAAACATGAACGTGTGCTGTTGGCCTGTCTTTGTGCGTGGGACCACAGCCCTGCCTCTGACGGGGCGTCCTCAGCAAAGCTGCGTCAGGGTGCAGCGCTCCTTCCCGCCGTCTGGGTGAGGTGAGGTGAGGTGAGCACTAGCACCCTGAGAGCAGAGTCCTCGTTTACTTTGCGTCACTTCACACAGAAGCGTCAAGTCGTTTCTCCCGCCTCTAGTTCCACAACAGATTCTTTTAAGCAATTGGCCTTTTATTCAGTCTTTCCAAAGGATTCAGTTTCATTTTCACAGAAACAGTAGTTCTTTTTTTTCACTCGAATTTCATCTATTTGCATTAATTTTAGTTAAATACATAATTACAGTAAATTTAACTGGAAGACATAGTTTAAGAGAAAAACTGCTGGTAAGAGTGAGAAGGCCCAGCTTATACAGAGGAGGGGCTTCTCTGCCCGCACCCGGCACAGACCCAGCAAGTCTTCAGAGGGAGAGCGAGCATAAGGGCCTGGAAAGGAGATGGGCAGACTGGCAGGAGGGACGTCACAGCGAGAGTGGTGTCGGGGAAGAGCTGTCTGCAAAGCAGATCACGTTAGAGCCTTGCCTTATCCAATAGCACAATCACTTCCAGGTCTCAGTGCCAGAGGTGAAAATTCTCAGGAAAGTAAGGATACTTTAACAGATAAAGAATCATCTGTTTAAGCTGACAGACAGCATTATATTCAGCTAATTGGAAAAGTAAAACTGTTGAGAAAGCAGAAAAAACTGTCTAACATACAAACAGCTTTTACAGTCACATAGGGGGATAATAGTCCAGTAGAGAAATGAACTACACTGGGAATAATTCACAAAGGTAAAAATGGCCATACTTTTAAGGTTTCCGGTTGCTACGCACTCACATGGCATTGTATATGCTGACTTTGGAGCTAACCTCCAGAGAAAGTGAAATCCACTCTTATTTAAACCAACTGCAACCAGTATGTTAAGCATATGAGACTTTGTATTCTAGTAGAAAGGCGGGCACACAAGAACTCTTTGAAATTGTAAGTCTTTTAGGATAAATCGAAGTTTCTGGGCTGTTGAAATGTTATTTCATATATACAAGTTTGAATTTCTTAATTCAAAGAGATTAAATAAAAGAAATACAGGTGGAACTCACAGTGACATGCCATTTTTCAGCTGTCACATAAGCAAAGAAGGAGCAAGTTGACAGGCACTCGCGTGTTACTGATTTGTACCCCAGTGTGGAGGGCAGGCTGACAGTGGAAATCAGAGTCCAAAATGCACGTGCGTTTGACCCAGGATTTCTACTTTGATCTGCAAATATGTGTGTAAAGATAGAACTACAAGAATATTCATTATAAGTCGGATTTTTAGTAATAGCAAAAGACTGAGGTGCTGTCTGTCCTTTAGTGGAGGTCTGAGGGAGTAAACGTTAGAGCACGCTCACAGTGGGTATGGAGCCAACGAGAGGAAGCCAGAGGTGCGTGTGCACTCGGCATGCTGCCCAGGACCTGTCCCACGTGAGGGAAAGGGCGAGGTGCAGAAGAGTAGGTTTGGTAGGAGGCCACTTGTGTTAAATCCAGAAGCGGAGGGAAGTGGCTGTGCTTTTGTAAGAGTGTCTCTAACAGGACAGGGAGGACACTAGTAACAGCTGTGCGCTCAGAGGATCTGCGAAAACAAGGCTCAGGGCGAGAGCAGTGACTGCTTCC